ACAAATGGAAATAAAGTCTTTGTAAATAGGGAAGGGTGGAGGGGGTGAAGGGAGGGCTAGGAATGGGGAAAAAATAAGAACGAAGATGCATTATGTAAAGGTACAATTTTCAATGAGAAATGTAATTGTGTTGTATACCTACAATATACCAATAAAAGAATTTAATAAAGAAAAAAATTGATATTATGTAATAGGAAGAAAAGGTTTAAAGGTGTAGGGGAAGTGGGAGGGGTAGAGGAAAGGAAAAAAGGGAAAAGAAAAAATATGAGAAAAGGGAAAAAATAGAAACAAAGTCTTTGCAAATAGGGAAGGGTGGAGGGGGTGACGGGTGGGCAGGGAAAAGGGAAAAAATAAGAACCAAAATACATCATGTAAAGGTACAAGATCCCAATGATGAATGTAACTTATTTTATACCTAAAATGTACCAATAAACTCAATGGGAAAAAAAAAAATCAATCCTCCCAAATATAAAGACCCAATCCAAAACTGGGCATCTGAAATGAACAGACATTTCTCAGATGAACTAGAAGAAGCAAATAAACATATGAAAAAGTGTTCAACATCACTGGTCATTTGAGATGCAGATGAGAACAACACTGAGATTCCATCTCACTCCAGAATGGCTGCTATCATGAAATCAACCAATAACAAATGCTCGCTGGGCTATGGGAAGAAAAAAACCCTTCTCCACTGTTAGTGGGAGTGTAGACTGGTGAAACCACTGTGGAAATCAGTGTGGAGATTCCTCAAAAAGCTAGGATTAGAGACACCATTTGACCCTGCTATGCTCGTGCTGGGTATCTTCTCAAAAGAATTAAAAGCATCATACCATATATATATACACACACATATGTGTGTGTGTGTGTGTGTGTGTGATATGCACACCCATGTTTACAGAGGCACCGTTTGTAATATCTAAATCTTGGAAACAGCCCAAAATCTCATCAGCTGGTTAGTGGATAAAAAAGGTGGTTTTTTCATAAAATGGAGTACTACTCAGCCATAATGAAAAATAAACTTGAGACATTTATAGGTAAATGGATGTCCCTTGAGGCCATATCATAAGTGAAATAAATAGGACACACATGTGTAAATGCTGAATTGTTTCTCTGGTATGAGAAACTGAAGGTTTAAATGAGGACCAAAATGTATAATAGATAATTGTGAAACAGGAAGAAAATGTTCAAAGGGGAAGGGTAACTATGTAGAGGGACTGGGGAAAGAAAAGGAGAGAAAAAAAATTGAAGGTAACAAGGAAAAAACAAAAACAAAGCTTATGTATATAGGGAGGGGTACAGGGGTTGAAGGAAGGGTAGGGAAATGGTTAAAAAAAGGAATTAAAATATATCATGAACAGGAACAAATTCTCAATGATGAATGTGATCATAAGGTATACCTAAATTGTATCAATAAACTCAATAAAAAATTTAAAAAATAATGGTGCATTTAAAAACCATGTTAATTTTTAAATTTTAAGTTACATAAAATCTGTATTCTTTCCCTCTAAAGAAGAGACAGCCAACCGAGTTCGATCCCCAGTACCAAAAAAAAAAAAAAGAGAGACAGCCAAGATATTATTTATGAAAGATTAGAATATAAGTTTATCACAGTGAGAGTTCCCCAAGCTGCATGTCATTTCATGTAAAATTTGAAGCCCTCTCATACCAAAACCTCACCCAAAAAAGCAGATTTATTTGGTTCTCCAAGGAATACCAGATTTTTAATACCCTGGTTCTGGAATTCATGATATTTTTAGAGCAGAGAACCACAAAAAAACCTATGTAGTCCATCAATGAAATATAAACTCCCCCTTAACTCCTGTCCTCCATGTTAGAAGCTGAGTAGCAAACAGTGTGACTCACACTTTCCTCTGGTGGTTGCAAGCTACTCTCTGAAGCACCTTCATAGGAAGACACTTCTGGATATGGAGCACTGAGAATAGCACCTAAACAGAAAATAAAACCACATGTGTGAATTCAATGCCTGAGTAAGTCAGAATTCATACCAAGAAATTAGGAACTGACCTCAAAAACTACTCTTAAAAGTCCTTTGCTTTTTCATACTGAAAATTCAGTCTATTTAAACCTCAAGACACATTTGCAAAGGGTCTTCTCAGAGCAAGAAATACTTATAACTCTATACAAGCATTTTTTGAGCATCCACTTTATGCTACACTCGGTGCTAGATACTGGGGATACAAAAATAAAGTTTCTATACTCACGTAACTATACTATAGAGGAAAAGTGGTTGAAGGTTAGAGATTGGCTATGTTTTGACAATAATTAAAATTGGACCACATCATGCTACTCTATTTTTGTATATGTTTGAAATTTCTAAGACAATGGAATTAATATGAGAAAATGAAAACCTGGAAACAAAGTCTTTGTAAATAGAGAGGGATGGAGGGGTTGAAGGGAGGGCAGGGGAATGGGGAAAAACTAAGAACCAAGAGAGATTATGTAAAGGTGCAAATTTCCAGGGATGAATGTCATTATATTGTATACTTTAAAATGTACCAATAAAATTAATTTTTTAAAAATTTCTAATACAAAGAAGTTTGTATCTTATAATTAAAAATAAAAATCCTCCAATTCACAAGGCATACAAAAGTACATAATAAACTATACTACAAAATGCAACCAGAAAAAAATCCTTACTCTGGGAAACTCTATAGGACAAATGACAAATAATTAGCACTAGAAATGTTCCACCTTTTAACATATGCCTTAAAATAATTCATTATGTCATCCTCCCCCCAATCCCCATACTGGGGATCGAACTCAGGACCGTGCGCTTGTGAGGCAGGCACAGCACCACTGAGCTAAATACCCTGCCCATCCATTCATTTTTAAGCTGTGTTCTGATTTGTGATATAATTAACAAAGATTTTTGAGTATTCACAACACAATGCCATAAAATAAGTGAAAATACTTTTTCTTGAGATTCTTGAACAATGCATATAGAGAGAAAAACATGATATTTTAAAAATGTGCATAGAATAAATACACTTGCTTGAAGGTTTTCTGAAACCATAAATAACTTAAAAGTAAAAGTGAATAAAAGCACAAAAGCATACCTCCCAATGTTGAGGTGTCACCAATAGGAACTGGAGATGACAATTCACGTCTAGAAGAAAAATGTTTGCAGTTAATAAAAAGATAGAAACATAAGGGCTTATAATGAGATTTAGGATTTGTTTTCCGAAAGGAAATCACTAGATCATTAATAAATGTTTCCAAAGGACGAAGCAGCAAAGTTTTTAAAAACTACAACTTCATAATTCATTCAGTTTACATTTACTGATGCCTACTCAACTAAACCCACTCATCTAATATACTTCTCTAATTACATTCCATCATCTGTTTTCTTCCTTTTCAATTTAAATCATTATATGAAATCATTTTATTTACTAACTTTTTCTCCTACTCCTAATCTTCTAGAATGGTATTATCCAATATGGTAGTCAATATATGGAGCAACTTAAATCAACTAAAATTAAAGTTTAAAAATTTAGTTCCTTATTCACACCAGCCACACTGAAAGTGTTCAATAATCACTTTTAGTCATCCTTTTATCAGGCTATCTTGCAAATGCAAGCAAAGTTCAGAAGATAATCTGAGAAAGTTCCTGCTCTAAAAGGAAAGTAAGGTTTCCATAAATCCAAGTTTCCACATATCCCAAGGTGTAAAAACTGAACTATACCAATGTGCGGACATTTTAGAACTTTAAAATTGACAAACATGCCCTAAACAAAAAGAGTTGCTCCATTAATCTTTTCCAAAGATGCTGATCAGTGGTCACTGTCAGTTTGCAGTTTAGAACAATTGAAAACTCTCTTCAGTGTTTTATGAGTCAACTCCCTAAGGTGATTTGATCACAGTAAAAAATACCTCATTTAAAGTATGATATGTGCCTCTCCAAAAAAATTTTCCTCACAGATGTAAGTCACATCTTCAGAACCACTACTTTACTGCTCAAAACTATGATAGTAGGGGTACTCAAACCAGATACACATGGTGTACATCTTTCAGTATCAATTTTACTGGAAGCTTAAGCAGGTGCAGAGCTAAATAGGAACTGATATGTAATTTATAATACTAATGTAAGGTTTAAGTAAATATTAAGATAAAATGCAGTAAATGAAAAGGATTTTATTGTTGGTGCTACATGGGAAAAGTCTACTACGATCATCTTCACTAGACCCTGAGGCTTTGGCAGAAATTTTGAAATATGTAAGTTAAAGAATTTTTCACCATGAAGATCATTCTGGCTTTTTTATTAAAATAGAGTTTATGGGGCCAGGGATTTAGCTCAGTGGTTCCGGCGCCTGCCTCGCAAGTGCAAGGACACAAGTTCAATCCCCAGTACCCCAAAATAAAATAAAATAAAATAAAATAGAGTTTATTAGATTTTCTTTTTTTTTTTCTTTTGGTACCAGGGATTGAACTCGGATCATTGCGCTTGCACAGCAGGTGGTGACACCACTGAGCTAAATCCCTGGCCCTAGATTTTCTTTTAATATAAACATGAGAAAGAAAAGCCACATTAAGTTGTAGCATTCTTTTTGAAATAAAACCACTCAATATTCAAATCTCTAAACTTGACACTCCATGAACAATTCTTTTGAGGTGGTAGATTGTAATATATCATATGACATTACTTATCACTTATGTCTGTCTTAAATGATGGAACCTGCAGCACTCAGTGTAAAACGTGAAGCACTACTACACTGAGAGAAAGTATTCCTGGCCAGAAAGGCTGTGTTTACATGCAAGATTCCTAGGATTAACTGGATTAACTGGACGTGGTGGTGCATGGCTGTAATCCTGGCACTTGGGAGGCTGAGGCAAGAGAATCACTGTTGAGTTTGGGGCCAGCCTGGGCTCTATAGTGAGACCCTGTCTCAAAACAAAACAAAAACCAAAACACCTAGAATTACACTTTAGAAGTTTAAGGGAAGTAGACTTTGTATAACTGGGAACACAAATCTTTAATATTTCTCATTTAGGTAACGTTGTAAATCTGCTAAAATTATTTACTCTCTGTCCTTTAAATTGTGAAGTGTTCCTAAGGCTCATTTAAGTTCTCTCAAATAGTACTTGAAATAGGGCACCTATTTTCAGATTTAACATGGAGTGGAGCCTTCAGAGTTGGATTTCAGCTCCCATGAGGGGCACCACCTGCAGCACATCAGCAACTGGGAGATGCCCGAAGATTTAGCTTTGGAGTTAAACCCCTCTGACCATCCAAGGGCAAGCACAATTTTCCTCAGCAAATCTCAAATGGATGTGGGTGAAAAGAGGAAGAACAACCATTTAAACATGTATCTCCAGGGTAGCTTATTAAAAAGTATAGCTCACGCCCAATGATATTTCTAGATGACACACAGTCAGCCAGTCTAATCTTAGAACCACAATAAAATGTGTGACCTTAGCAATATATTACCACATAAAGAACAGAGATGCAAACAGATCCCTGGACATTTTTGATGAGCAGTCACATCCACTCACACGAGAAAAGGTTCCAGAGGAGTACTTTAAACATGACCCTGAACACAAATTTACTTACAGATTTGTTCATACCCTCTTTAGTGCCAAAGAGCTAACAGCTCAATACGCAATAGTAACTTTGGTTTACTTAGAAAGGCTTTTAACTTATGCTGAGATCGACATTTGTCCCACTAACCTGAAAAGAATTGTTTTGGGAGCCATTCTTCTTGCCGCCAAGGTTTGGGACGATCAGGCTGTATAAAATGTGGACTACCGCCAGATCCTCAAGGGCTTTACAGGTGAGGACATGAATGAGATGGAAAAGCATTTCTTGGAGCTACTCTGGTTTAATATTAATGTTCCCGCTAGTGTTTATGCCAAATACTACTTCGACCTGCGCTCCTTAGCAGATGACAACAACGTCAACTTTCTGTTTGCTCCTCTGAGCAAAGAGAGAGCACAGAACCTAGAGGCCATTTCAAGACTGTGTGAAGACAAAGACTTGTGTAGAGCTGCAACATCTTTGAGTGCTGACAATTTCGCTGGTGTTCAGCGCTTTAATGCTATTCTCTCTTAAGAGGGAGAAATAAAGGATAACAAAATCATGAACCTCTCATTCATAGACTGGAGAAATACCACCTCTTCTGGCTTTTTATAATACTATCTAAAAAGAGTAACAGGGCCAGGGATTTAGCTCAGTGCAAGGTCCTAAGTTCGATCCCCAGTACAGGGAAAAAAAAGAAGAAGAAGAAGAAAAAAAGATTAACATATTAAACAATTACACCAAACCTATCATTATTGGTTATTTACAGCTTATTTCTAGAGCTGTCATCTAGAAGAAACTAAAGGAATATGACAAGTCATTTGGGGGAACAGAGAAAGGCCTGAGTAATGAGAAAGCACCCAGAGGCTTTTTGGGTTGCAGGAGATAGAACTAAAAAAGGAGGGGGGATTCAGATGCATTCAAAATAGACATTAACGTATCTGACCTAAATTGGGTTCTACAGTAATAATCTACACAGCAGTACCCTTCCTAATAATTTCAGGTAACAATAATCTACACAGCAGTACCCTTCCTAATCTACAACAGCAGTACCCTTCCTAATAATTTCAGGTAACAGATGTAAATTAATGAGGTCCAAATGGGTAAAATAAATTTCCCAAAATCACATAAAAAGCCCTAACTGCATCTGTCCCCTTTCAATAATAATAACAGCAAGAATATTTACAACTGAATTTACTGAGCTCTTATCATGTGTCAAGCACTGTGCTAAATGCTTTATCATGGTTAACTAAATTCCAGCAACTACCTTCAAAGGAAGATACTATTATTTCCATTTAGACAGATAAGAAATGAATGCTTCAAGAGACCCACTTGATCCCAGAAACCCTATTTTTACTCATTTTAATTCACTGCTTCACACATGGCCCTTATGTGACACATACTCTTTAGAAGAATCTTACTTGATCTTAATGATAGTGGCCTATATAAACCAAATGAGTTTAAAGTCAAAGTGGATGAAAGTCCCAGAAAGAAGACAGGGAACTTGGTTGGAGCTGAAGACCTATGGAGTGTCACTACGTATAAACAGCACATGAAGACAAAGGGACAAAAGCACAGCACAGCAACTAAAACCAGATATGGGGATGAGATGGCAGAAAACCCAGAGGTGGGTCAAATTTTCCCCACATTTAAACTAATTTTCTAATTAAGCAAGCATTCAAAATGAAGTTTACTTACTTTATAGGAATGAGATTTTACCTTATTGAATTCAAAGGAGAAATTAAAAAATAGATAATATCAGGTAGGAAGCTATATCTTTCTCAAATGGAAAAGGGAACAAGAGATGAGAGGGGGGAAGGGAGGGGAGGGAAAAAGGCCAAAAAACAGAATTAAGATATGTTATATACATGTCCAACTCCACACAAGAAATGTAAACATTTCTTCTATTGAAACATGTACTAAAAAAATTTTAAATAACATTATTTTAATGACAGCAAATAAAAAGTTCTCACTGATTCAAATCACTTGTCTAATACTTCAACACTTAATCCCTAACCCTCTTACTCTCCTTCCAAAAGTCAGAAAAGAACACTTGACAACAAAAATCCTTTTACATGTTCTCATTAATTATTCCTCCTGCAGAGATTCTTAAAATGTCACTCAGAACAATCCTGGAACACAGGGGTATATTGGGCTTAGAGAAATAAATACTACTCCATTTCTAGGCCAAACTACAAAATTGAAGCTATTAAGCTAAGACCTTCAATTTAAGACCACCAGCAAACAACCATCCACTGCCTCATTTTTCTCAGCTTACCCAGCACATTATTCATTCTTCACCGCTCTTACATAATCATGTCAATGGAATTCAGGTGGGATGTGTCAAAAGATATTCATAGTCATATGGAACATAAATGTTAAAACATTGTGAGGCTGAGGTGTAGCTCAGTGGGAGAGTGCCTGCTTAGTGTGGGCAAAAGCCCTGGGTTCAATCCTCAGCAACAAAAAAAAATTTTTAGTTAAGCATAGGTTTATATTTAACTTATTGCTCCCCTTGATGATTTTGTATGCTTTGCTCCTGAATCTGTTATAATAATCTGCATGAAACAGGAAAAAAACAAAGTAGGAAGTCC